CTCCATTCACCAGAACGGTGCACCAAAAATTGTCGGTGAAGTTTGTTTCACCTGCACCTTTGTGGTGCAATTTTCAGGCTTTGCCTCTTCATGCACCAGAATGGTGCAAATTTTCCACCATAAATTTTCAATAAAGCGTGCATTCATCAGAACGATGCAAATTATGCACCAGAAACATGAATAAACCTTGCTTCTACATTCACCACAGTGTTGCGAACGATCCACCAGAAATTTTCAGTTAAATGTGCACCCCCAAATGTTTTGCGTGATTCAATTTTTCCACCAGAATTATTCATTGATGATATTTTTCCACCAGAATAATTCAATAAAAAACTCAGTGCCCTTATAGTATGAAATGAAGTTATTTACCTTCAAATCAAGTTATCAAGAAATCAAGTTATTTTATATCATAATTTAGAAATGTGGAAATAAACATCTTATATAAAAGGAGGGGCAATTGCCCCACCTTGCCCCACCCTGTGCACGCCAGTGATAACATTTTATTTCTTGTTACTTTTTATGACTTGATAATAGTGACAAGACTCGGGTAGTGACCACCGCGCCGTTATGCATTTCTATATTTTATATTTCAAATCAAATAGATTGTTTATGTTCATAGATTTCACATAATCCTTTTCGCTTTGTCCTTCGCCTTTTCCTTTCCCTCTTCTCTTTTCAGAATGCGATTAATGGCGCTATAGCCATAAGTCATAAAAGGCTAGGACAAGAGTTAGTGCTCATGTCCCAACCGTCAGAAGAAAATGGAGCATCACTTAACCTTCCTAGCTTTGATGCTTCCAACGACCAACCAATCATATAATTACCAAAATCGGAACGTACGGTACGAGATGTCCACGTTGCATTCATTTATTGGATTCTGAAGCATCGTTTTTAAATTTTTGATTTAAATTTCTGAATCATCTTGTCCCTTCAATGCTGCGCAGTAGGCCTGACCGTTTTGACCTCTGAACTACGTCATCTACGAAACGTCCTCAGGAAAGCACGCAGCCGTTTCTTTCTGATGAAGTCCGATGGTGAGCGGAATAACCTTCAGGAAGTGGAAACAACGTACAAGGCACTTCTCTTTTCCACGTATGAAAGTTACATGGCTAAGATTCAATCAGATGTCAAGCAAAATCCTTCATGTTTCTGGAATTTTGTCAGAAGCCAAAAATCGGCTACTCGCATTCCAACTAACGTTAAATACGACGAAACCATCGCTAGCTCTAATTCGGAAGCAGCAAGCCTATTCGCCAAGTTCTTCGAGAGCGTATTTAGCAAATCATCGCCTGTTCCTCGCTTCAACCGCTTTGCCCATATTGCTTCACCAGACATAAATCTACCCGACGTTCAGTTTTCCGTTGTCGAAGTGGTGAAAGCCATTGAAGAACTCGACGTTGATAAAGGACCTGGAATGGACGGTATACCACCCTTGCTGCTGAAGAATTGCTCCACCGCACTTGCATCTCCCATAACATCTCTATTCAACCGTTTGCTGCATGACAGGATGTTTAAGAAAGACGTGTTGTTTTCGTCGTCGTTCGTAAGGTCGGCGCCGGGATAACAACAAGTTGAACGGAAACTTGATCGTAATTGTTGTGTGATATAAGGAGCTCGGTGGCCTAGTGGTAACCGATTTTGCTTACTGAGCAGAAGACCGTGGGTTCAATCAAACGCTCTTTCGCGCTATTGAATCGTTAGGACATCAATCCAGCATATCGTTTACCAAAACGAATCCTGCTGTAATCCCAAACCTTTTAACCAACATCCCACTGATTTCTCGTGGAAGTGTAGAGGTGTTCTCGGATTTCATTAAGGGGAAGTTTACCGCTCCGAAAAAATAATTACGTTTCGATATTTCTAAAAATTTTAGAAAAAGATAACAAATATCTAAAAAAAATCACATTTTTTTCTAATTTTCCAAAAAATAAATCAGGTAAAAAAATATTGTTTTAAGTCATCATGGCATAAAGTTGGACTAAAAAAACATCGTCCATTTTTTTCATGATGAGATAGAAAAAATATGTTTACATGTAATTTTTTTCAAGAATCTAATGAAGAACCTGATTTTCTTGGATTTTTGATATTTTTTCCCAATAATTTTAAAAAATAAAAACCCGCCGAAAATATTTTTTTTTATTTTCGGGGCGGTAAACTATTCCTTAAAGCGAGTATTACGTCAACATATTCCTACCCAAGCAACGTCTATTGGTTCTCTGTGAAATTACAACTTGTCTGACAATAACGGAGTTGCATTCACGGGCGGTCAATCATACTCATGCTATGTTCCTCATTACCATCACAGTCAACGACTTTCTCTCTGGTCCTCTTCAAAGACCCATTCAAGCTGAACATTGCATAAGGTCCTATGTAACATTGACAGATTCTCTTCGTCGACTTTCTCTTTGTATCCCCATGGCCATATAAAGATATTCCCAGTTCTTTTCAGCACACAGATATATAAAAGACGCATTTGTGTAGCATCTAATACGACAAACACAAAAAGAAACGGTTATGTGCTCAAATTATTAACGAAAGAGAAAGTCGGCGAAGAGAATCGTTCACTGTTACTTAGGACCTAATCTAATGCAATGTTCAGCTTGAATTCTCGCATCACTTTTCAAATAGACCAATCAACTTTGATCGATTCTCTTCATCGACTCTCTCTCAATAACTTAATAAATCGTTAATAGCTCGTCTCCAAAAACATGTTCAGCTGTTCTTATCATCCAATACGCTTATTAATACTTTCTTTTAACAGACAGAAAAATTACCCCGAATTATGAATACTGCCAAGTTATTAAAGGAAAAGAGACTCGATTAACAGACCCTGTCAATGTAGATAAGAACTATTGAAAAGTAACGCGTTAATTAGAAGAGTGTTGACTCTGGCGATGGGCCCTAACCGTAAAAGAGAACCATTTTTCGGCAAGGTCAAAACCAGCGCTGCCATTTATACAGATTTATCTGTATTATACAGATTATTTAATCTTAATACAGTCCCGATACAGAATACAGATTTATCACAGATTTTTAAATTACAATACAGATTTATACAGATTTTTATAAAATGAATGTTATGGTGTTTTTGACAGCATTCACAACCAGAGGACCAACCGCTTTCGGATGCATATGGAGCTGGTAGTAAACGATTTGAGATTGTATGGGGATTTACAGTATTAATTGAATATTTCCAATATAAGCATGTATGTTAAATACAAGAAAAGTGCCCGAGCACATTAAAATGGTACAAATACAAGTACTCGTAAACATTTTACTTGCATTGAAAATGTATTTCGTAAGAAATTGCGGATTTTCTGATATTCTCCATACTGCAAAAATGATTTTACCAGCACTGGCGGGGCGACATCTCTCGACTTTTCGGTGTAACTACCACACAAATGATGTAATTAATTGTATTCATCTATATTAAAAATATCAAATAGTAATGAACTCGTGCACTTTTTTGCATTTAAAACTGCTTATCAGGAAGATAATGAATAGAAACTAAAATCTCCATACATTTTCAAACGGCTTCATATCACTCTTATAAATAAGTACGGACGATATCACAAATGGCGCAATTATATTCCATATGGTTAGTACGATAGCCCGAATAGGTGGTTAAGCACTTTTTATGGTTATTTTGTATGCACTGTATTTGTAAAACAACAAAACATGATTAATTAAGAAAAAAATCGTCAATACAGAAAATACAGATTTTTTAATAGAGTGGATACAGATTTTTTATAAAAACCACCTGGCAGCTCTGGTCAAAACGGCAAAGAAAGACGCTGATAGTCAATGCCACGACCAAGCCAGTGTCGAATTGCAGTGGAAACGGCCTTCCACGTGCTACTCAACTATCAAGAACCGCCATCACTACAAGCCGGCGTGTCACCATCTTCGAGACCAACAGTGCTGGAGTCGAGCACAGTCACGCACGGTCGATGGCTTATTAGCTGATTTCGGAAAACAAAATTTTCTCTTCTGCAAATAGTGGTGCCCTTATAATATCATATAGCTACTAACAAGCTCAAATTATGTGACCACCAATCTACCATCACGGTCAATCAACGATAGAATTGCTTCGTACGAGTGTTCGCCACCGTTCAAAACTCCGGTACGTACTAGAACTAGTGACCGCATAAAAAAAAACCATTAACATCGGCACGAATAGCTTGGATAAATTTTGCTTTTACCATCAAACACCTATAAAATTTAGCAATAGTCTAGAATCTAAAAAAAATCTATATGTTCTACGCTTTTCGCACCTCAAAATTCGAACCTGTGATGCAGCTCAGGGGTCTCATGGCACTGAGCAGAAGTCGTTTTCGAGCACAAGTAGGTCTCTTCACTTCTAGTCTCAGAATGCAATACAAATATTCAAGGAGAATCCCGTCGAGAGATTCCAGTACGATCTCAGAAAACATTTCAGGAGAATCCTCGATAGTGGTTTAAAGAGAATTTCAAACAATTAATAAAGTTTGGAAGTCAAGTCAAGTAAGGATTCTAGCAATTTTGGACATAAATTTCATAAGATTCCCGGACATATAATCTTTGTCAGGAATTTCGAGACATCGTATGTTCTGTTGTCTGTGACCTTATCTGCGAAGCTCACTCGCAATTTCACGCCGAAGAGTACCTATCGTGTATAATTCTCCCCTTACTTCACCAAATTCACCAACACAAGAGTCCCACGCCGAGAGCCGTGCAACGCGGGGTGGTGATTGCGTGCAAATACGATATCGTGTACGCTGTGAGTGAGCCAAACAACACACCACTTACCTAGTTATGGAGAGCCATTTGGGTGGGATGCCTGCACCCTTCTCGTCTTTGTTTACAATACGCTCGCCATGCGCTCCAGTGGCATCCCGTCCCACAATCAAAGATGTCCCCCTCGCCCCTTTTTTTCAATTCCAGTAGCTCACTCACACGCACACGAACAGCACCGACTGCAAACAACAGCTCTACTGAGCTCTACTCTGGGCCTGGAGAACCGCGCCTGCTAGCTGTGGTTGATGCTTTGCCTGATGCCAATGGTGGAACGTTTTCACTCGTCCGAGCTGATTTAAGCATCAATCCATTGCAAACCTTTGGCCTGGCGAGGTACCTCACTTGTTGCAGCTCGTAGTTGATAATTTATTCCCGACGAATCGCGCGCGCATTTGTGGAACAGGGGTTTTGTGCGTGTTAGAACCGAATTTGGAACCATTCGACAAACCAACAGGGCGACCTTGATCAGAATGTCGGACAAACCGAATGACCAAACGGAGGTGAAAAATTCCGTCGAAATTCCACTGGCTGGACAAAGCACCGAGGCTGGAGCGAAGAAGCCCCCGTGGTTGGCTCTGAAAAAGTATGTGAATGCCAAAAATGTGAGAAGATTGCTCAAGATAGGACAAGTGGTGAGTTTTGCTTTGTTCTAATGTACAAATTTCATGCGAAAATTATACGAAAAAAAAATCCTTTGTAGCTCATCGGGGTAGTAATCCTAGCGTTGATTCGCCCCAGGAATCGGTGTGGATTCTTCTACAACCATCAAGGGATCCCGGAGTATGTGCTGATTATGCTTACCTACATGGTTACGGTCATAACCCTAGTTCTGCTGGTGGATTCCTTTGTCAAGGGTCAACCAATTCGTAAGGTGTTCACCCTGGACCTGTGGTCCCGTTTGGAACTGTGGTTCACCGGATTGGCAGCGTTGGTACTGCACATCGTATCCTACTTTGTACTGGCTCTGAACGTCAACTGTCCCTACGCATCGCCGAACTGGACCGGAACCAGCTTCGGATTGGTCGCTTCCGGACTTTACCTGGCCGATTGGTGGCGCGTATTCAGCGACAGGAAGCAACCAAAGCAAGACGAAGGCTTCGAGGAGATCAACATCACTTCGAGTTAAGAATCCAACAGTTTACAATAACACATTACTTCCTAACTAAGCGTGACCAAAAGAGTGTTATCTACCATTAGCTGAAGTAGTTTAATCAAACTGCACGAAACCCGTGCCATATACATGTGTATGTGTGTCTGAATGAATGCCGTTTTTCTCTAAACGAAAAATGTATGCAATTCACATTCTTCCATGTAATAATTTTGCAGTTCACTGAGGGTAACTATTTTAACCCGCCATCTCGTACGAACCATTCGGAAACGGAGACATATTAGATAGAAAGTACAAGTCGTAACTATTTATAGCTAGTTTGAAGTATTTTTATTTAGATTAAGAAACGCTTTTGAGAAAACATTTATTTTATTTAATCATGCATGTGCCATATGAGTTGAAAATAAAACCATGGATATCTGTATACCAATAACATGAACTGCGTTTTAATGTCTTTGAAGTTATTTACAATGCAAGAGCAATGTTTTGAGTAATGAAAATCATTAGTCAGAAGCTGTCGTTTATACCCTTCTTAAAAATAAGGCTGATGAACTTATGGACATTGCATATCACTACACTATGGGAAGGTCCCAAACAAACAGGTGGCCAAAAATATGTTTGTCGCAGAAGCTGATTATTTGATCCCCTAGCAGTGGCGTGCGCAACGGACGTGGGCATGATTTTGAGAACGTCTGACGAGAAAATGTTGAATAGGATAGGCCCAAGCAGGCTACCCTGAGGGACTCCTGCATCAACGTTGAACGTATCAAAGGGGACATTGTTCAAGTAGACCTGGAATGATCTGCCCGACAAGTAGTTTTTGGTGATCTTCACGAGATAGATCGGAAAGTTGTATCTATGCAGCTTGTACACCAGACCATCATGCCAGACATTGTCGAACGCCTTCTCGACGTCCAATAATGCCATGGCAGATGTATTGGAAACGGACTTGTTCTGCTTGGGTGAGTTGGTGGATGGTAGAGTGGCCTTTCCTAAACCCGAATTGCTCTTTGAGAAATATGTTATTACCTATCATTTGAAAACACCAGCAGACGGCTGAGTATCAACTTTTCGAATAGCTTCGAGATGGAGGACAAGAGGCTGATGGGGCGATAGCTTTTGGCACTGGTAGGATCTTTGCCCGGCTTGTGTATTGGAATCACTTTGGCTAACTTCCAGCATGCAGGGATATAGCCAAGCTCCAAACATTTCAAGCTGAACATTGCATTTGGTCCTAAGTAACATTGATCGATTCTATTCGTCGACTTTCTCTTTCGTTAGTAACTTGAACACATACCCGTTTCTTGTTTAAATTGTCGTATTAGATGCTAGATATAAGCTTCTTTTATCAATCTGTGTGGTGAAAATAACTGGGAATGTTTTTACATGGCCATGGAGATACAAAGAGAAAGTCGACGAAGAGAATCTCTCAATATTACTTAGGACCTAATGCAATGTTCAGCCTGATTTGTTGAATGATGTGCATGTCCAACCAAGTGGTACTCGATTATGACGATGCCGGTAAGCTACAAAGACTCCTCCCATCTGTCGTGATTTCCGGTGGACTGTTCGCCAGGTGCTCTAACGAACAAATGATGATCCATGGTCAGGTCTGGGAATGGGATTGCTTGGAGAGGACGGAGTCTCTCAACCTCAAATGTCCGGATGTTCTTTCGCTACTGGGGTGCTGCTCGCTGCATTTCAGCCACGGAATGTGGCACTGCACCTTATGTAGGTGGCTGCTGCTGCTGCTGCTGCTGTGCTTGCTGCTGTAAGCGTCCGTTCGCTTTGTCGTCAGTCAATCGAATGAGCCCCGGAATTTTTTTTAGTTTAAATGATCTTTATTTTAGTTTAACTTGGACGATTACCATATAATTTTTTACTAAGTGATTTAATGATTTCTTCATCTTTAGGTATGGGCAAAATTCAAAATTTGTTTTACAGAATTAGTCCTAGACTTAGTACACGGTCGACCACCTTGGTGGGATTGGTTTGTTTTGTTTTTAGAATTTGAAGAGAAACTACTTAATACTACTATTTACAGCTTAAAACTAACCTACTCTACTATATACACTTAACCTACTATGTACAAATTGCTTATTAAAGCATGTTCAGAAAGATTGCATTTTTGAATAAATTTAGTTGTCATATCATCAATTTTGGAATCTACTTTGGGAATTTCTGCCTCTTGATGGAGGTCTGCTATTCTTGTGTCGAATGGACGATCTAGGATCATCCTCAACACTCTATTCTGTGCAACCTGGATTTTGTTCCTGTGGGTCTGAGCGCACGATTCCCACACCGGGGCGGCATAGAAGATCGCGGGGGCTATGATCTGTTTGTAAACAGCCAGTTTGTTTTGCCTTGAGAGGCGGGATCTGCGGCAAATGAGCGGATACAAACACCTAACCAAGGCGGAGCACTTAACTAGGGTTTTCTCTATGTGCGAGCGGAACAGGAGCTTCTCATCGAACAACATCCCGAGACAAGTAACATCAGTGGACCACTCGACCCTTGTACCATCCATTATTACGGTACAGGAGGGAGACGGTTTAAGTTTTAATGATTGTCTGTGAAGGAACATGATCGCTTGGGTTTTCGAGGCGTTGATTTTGATTTTCCACGTGGTGGCATAATCAGTAAAGGTGTCAAGGCATCGTTGGAGCTTGTTCGTAATTTCACGAGGCATCCTACCCTTGACAGCTATCGCGGTGTCATCTGCAAACAGAAAGAACACGCAACCGTCTCCTAGAGGAGGGATGTCCGACGTGTAGATGCTGTAAAGCAGTGGTCCCAGCAGACTCCCTTGCGGAACACCTGCTGGGATCGGAAATTGTCCCGAAAGGAAACTATTCAACGACACCCTGAACGACCTTTGCTGGAGGTAGTTACGGGTGATTTTCACAAGGTATGGTGGAAAGTTAGAGTTACAAAGCTTGTATATAAGTCCGTCGTGCCAGACATTGTCAAACGCCTTTTCGACGTCTAACAAGGCCATGGCTGTGGACTTGGATACAGCTTTGTTACTCCGGATGTTATTCATCACCCGCACTAGCTGATGATTGGTGGAATGCCCCTTGCGGAACCCGAACTGTTCCGGAAGAAGAATGTCATGTTCCTCCACAAACTTGTTTAGTCGGCTGAGGATCAATTTTTCGAACAGCTTGCTCAGCGCTGAGAGCAGGCTAATCGGTCTGTAGCTTGACGGTAGTGAAGGGTCTTTCCCAGGTTTGCGGATCGGGATGATTTTTGCCACCTTCCAGATGCTTGGAAAGTAGTGCAGCTCCAAGCATCTGTTGAAGGTGGCAGCTAGCAGCGAGTGCACCCTCGGGCTGAGATTTTTCAACGCTAGGTTGAATATTCCGTCAAACCCGGGAGCCTTCATGTTCTTACTGTATTTCAGCGCTGAGCAAATTTGTTCCTCTGTAATCCGTTCTTCTGGAGGGACGGCACAAGGGGAGGCATCTAACGTCAGGACGCACTGCGCAACCTGGTTCTCGAGTGGACTTGGGATTTTAGAGCCAAGCAAATGCGACTGGGCAATGTGCTCCCCAATCGCATTGGCCTTCTCTTCGTTGGTGATAAGCCGTTCGTCATTGACTCTAAGTGGTGGAATGGGCTTGGGGTGAGACTTCAGCACCTTGGCAACCTTCCAAAATGGTCTGGAACGGTCGTCCAGGTTCTGAACGAGCCGCCCGAAACTCTCGTTCCGGATTGAGACCATTCTGGAAGCGATCTGCCGATTCAGATCGACCATTTCGTATTTACGCTGCAGATCCCCAGTCCGCTGAAACTGGCGTCTACGAACATTTCTGAGCCGAATCAAGAGTTTGGTGTGGGAATCAATTGCTTGAAACTTACCCCTCACAGGAACTCGTCGAACGCACTCTTCGTCAGCCACGGATATGGCTTGATGGAGACCCTCCAGGGCCCGGTCGATGTCATCCACTGTGTCGAGCGGTGGGTTGTCGTCGATGTGGCGGTCGACCACGCGTCGAAACTGAACCCAGTTGACTCGATGGTAGTCCTTCCGCTGGCACGGTGCAGGGGCCACGTTGTAGCCCAGCTCGGTCAGCACCGGTTGGTGGTCCGAACTCAGGTCGTTGACGGCAACCGGCTTGGCTAATCTGGTGTTTGCCAAGAACAGGTCCAGCGTCGATGGGTTGCCCGTCGGTGATGTGAAGGTTGGTTCGTCCGGAAACCAGACGGAATAGAGACCATGCTGGGAATGGTCGAATAGCAGGCGGCCGTTCTGGTTCTGCTGGTAGTTCCGCCAGGCCTCGTGCCGGGCGTTCAGGTCCCCTCCGATTACAAAGCGGGCATTGGTGTGGGTTATGATGGCAAGGTCGTTCTTGAACTGCTGTGCTGTACCATTGCTAACGGTACATTGCCGGGGGCAGTAGGCGGCGATGAACCGGACGTTTCCGGTCGATGTTTCCACCTCTATGCCAACGGCCTCGATGATGGAAGTGCGGTAGTGGGGTAGGGTGCAGTACTTGATGCCTTTCTTGATGATGACCGCGACACCGCCCCCCCTGGAGCTGGTGCGATCAAGCCGGACAATGCTGTGGTCGGGCAGCCAGAAGCTGTCACCGGTCTTGAGGTGAGTCTCGGTGAGAAGGCCCACGTCGATGTCGTGCTTGCGGAGGAAGTCTGCAAGCTCAATGTTTTTCGCCCCTACGGAGCGAGCGTTCCAGTTGGCGATCTTTATGGGTTCACGGTCCATAATTAGCGACGAAGGAGATGATAGCTTGGAGCTGTTGTGTTCTTGTTGCGCAGGTGCGCTTGATGATGATGGCCTGGGCCAACAGTGTGACGATCTCATCCGTTGACAGCGGAGAATCGTCTGTAGCTTCACCGGTTGTACCGGCCAATCCCGGAGCAGGGGGATCCGTCGATGGGCCGGAGGCTTGACTGGGTACTGCAGCGGCAGCCGACTGGGCAGCAGCCAACTGTTGGTTGAGCGGGAGCGGCGCCAACACTGGAATTGGCCGTGGTTGGACCGGTGATAACGGAGGAAAGTTCTGCGCGTTGTTTTCCGGGACCTTCTTGCGACCGGGCTGGTTGTTGGACGAGGCCTTCTTCCGGATCTCGGCGTATTCGGCCCGCTTCGGACAGGCCTTACTCGTGGCCTTGTGGGCAGCACCGCAGTTGGCGCATGTGGGAGCGGCTTCCTCGATGCTGTCGCAGTCGTCGATCTTGTGGTTTTTGCCGCATTTGATGCAGCGGCTGGCCATGCGGCAGTTCCTGGTGCCGTGCCCGAACAATAGGCAGTTCGAGCACTGAGTGACGCCACGGTGGGTTGGCTTATACCGCTCCCACTTCACTACGATGTGGAACAGTGTGCGTGTCGTATGGAGATCCTTCACGGTTGTGGAGTTCTTCTGCAGATGGACCAAGTAGAGCTGGTCACGATACTTGATGGCCTTGCTGCG